TATTATTATATTACTATCTATTACTTCCTTTATGTTTATTATTAGCTGCTTTATATTTGGGTGCTCCCCAGACTGGGAGCATAATGCTGAGTACATAAATATTTACAATTGTTGTATCTTCTTATTGGATTATAGTATCCTTTTATGTCTCTTGTTATAATCTTCGTTTTAAAGTCTACTTTGTATGATATATTTTTCATCTCTACTTTCTTTTTACTTCCATTTGCACGATAAGTGCTTTTTTATCTCATTTTCAATCTTTGTGTATTTTTAGATCTGAACTGAATCTCTTGTGGGCAGCATATAGGTGGGTCTTTTTTTTTTAAATCCATTCCATTACCCTATGTATCTTGATTACAGTGTTTAGTCCACTTTCTTTCAAGGTAATTATTGATAGGTATGTACTTATTGCAATTTTGTTACTTCTTTTATGGTGATTTTTATAGTTCTTCTCTGTTTCTTTTTTTCTTTTCTCATGGTTTGCTGGCTTTCTTTATTGATATACTTGGACTCCTTTCTCCTTATTTTTGGTATATCTACTACTTGTTTTTTGATCTGTGGTTACCATTAGGTTTATATATAGCATCTTCTACATATAGCAGTCTATATTAATTTGATGGTTGCTTCAATTTGAACCCATTCTGAAAACACTAAATTTTTATTTCTCTATCTCCTCCCTAAATTTTAGATACATGGTATCATACTTTATATCCTATTATTTTGTGAAGCCCTTGACTGATTTTTATAGATATACTTACTTAATTTTGGTACTCTTGTGCTTCCTTCTTTTCTTACTCCTGCTTATGGTCTTTCCTTTTCACTCAAAGAGTCCCCTTTAACTAGGTGGTGAATGAATTCTTTAAGTCTGGAAACTTTTCCCTCCTCTTTTGGAGAGAGAGTGAGAGCACACAAGCAAAGGGGTAGGGCAGAGGGAGAGAGAGAATCTTAGGCAGGCTCCACTCCCAGCATGGAGCCTGATGAGGGGTTAAATTTCTTGACCCTAAGATCATGACCTGAGCTGAAATTAAGAGTTGGACACCTAACTGACTGAGTCACCCAGGTGCCCCTGTCTGGGAAACTCTTTATTTCTTCTTCCATTCTGAGTGGTAACGTTGCTGGCTCTGATATTCTTGCTTGTAGGTTTTTTTTCTTTCTGCACTTTGAATATATCATGCTACTCCCTTCTGGCCTGCAAACTTTCTCCTGAAAAGACTGTTGATAAATTTATGGTGTTTCTCTTGTATGTAGTGTTTTCTTTTCTCTCAGTACCTTTAACATTCTCTCTTTATCCCTACTTTTGGCCATTTTAGTTACTCTGTGTCTTGGTGTGGACCTGCTTGGGTAGATTTTACTAAGGGCTTTCTGTGCCTCTGGGATCTGGATTTCTGTTTCCTTTCCTAGATTAGGGAAGTTTTCAGCTGTTATTTCTTCTAATAAGTTTTCTGCCCCCTTTTCTCTCTCTTCATGTGGGATTCTTATAATATGAATGTCATTACACTTGATGCTGTCAATGGGTTCTCACTTTTTTAAAAAAGTTTTTTTTATTTTTTCATGAGAGACACACAGAGGCAGAGGCAGAGGCAGACGGAGAAGCAGGCTCTCTGCAGGGAGCCTGATGCGTCACTCGATCCCAGGACCCTGGGGGTCATGACCTGAGCCAAAGGCAGATACTCAACCACTGATCCACCCAAGTGTCCCCTCAATGAGTTCTCTTAATCTGTTTTCATTTACTATTATTTTTTCTCTTTCTCCTGTACAACTTGATTGCATTCTATTACTCTGTCCTCCAAGTCACTAATCTGTTCTTTTTTGTCCTCTAATCTAGTATTCATTTCCTCTAGTGTATTTTTAATTTCAGTTATTATTTCTTCACCTCTGATTCTTTTTTTTTTAAGTTTTCTTTCTCTTTGGGGGTCTCACTGAGTCCTCCATGATTTTTTCAATCTAGTATCTTTATGTTCACTACTTTACATTATCTACCAATCATATTACTTATCTGTTTTGTTTAGCTCTTTTGGTATGACTTTGTCCTGTTCTTTTTCTTTTTTAAATATTTTATTTGTTTATTCATGAGACACAAAGAGAGACAGAGACAGAGACAGAGACAAAGACACAGGCAGAGGGAGAAGCAGGCTCCAGGCAGGGAGCCTGATGTGGGACTCGATCCTGGGTCTCCAGGATCAGGCCCTGGCCTGAAAGCAGCGCTAAACTACCGAGCCACCCGGGCTGCCCTGTCCTGTTCTTTCATTTGGGACATATTCCTCTATGTCCTCAATTTGTTTAGCTGTTTGTTTCTATGTGTTAGGAAAGTCTCTTGCTCCTGAAAGTATTGGCCTTATGAAGAAGCGGTCCCATAGTGCCTTGTAGTGCAATGTCCCATTTATCAGAACCCAGCACTTCAGGTGTGTCCCTCTATGTATTGTGTGTGCACTACTATTGTGGCTGAGCCACCTTTGCCTTCAGTCTGGTCATCTACAGCGGTTCTCATTGCCTGTTTTAGGCAGGGTTTATTCCCTGTGTTGTTAGTGGGGGCAGTCTGGTGTTGACTTGGACTTGAATTTAGTCAGACCAGGCATTTGCCAAAGCTGTGGTAGATCTGAACTGCTGGGCACTTTCCTTTTGTTGTCCCCTGAGAGGCTTTTGTTCGAGAGAGAGAGAGAGAGAGAGAGAGAGAGAGAGAGAGAGATGAGAGGGGCAGAGACACAGGCAGAGGGAGAAGCAGGCTCCATGGAGGAGCCCGATGTGGGACTCGATCCTGGGTCTCCAGGATCATGCCCTGGGCCAAAGGCGGTGCTAAACTGCTGAGTCACCCAGGGAGGCACTGCCAGCTCCTTTTATCCTAGTTAAGTCTCCTGTAGACCCCTGCTCCTTCAGCACATGCTCTGAGATTAATAAGCAAATAAGCTTATAAGCAAATAAACAAAGTGTTTTCCAAATTGCTACTTCTATTCTGGGTGTCAGCCAGGCTATTTGTTCTGCTGTCTCTTTAATGGTGGGAGTTCTGCTTCCTCTCACCCTCCCAGGTCTTCCAGAGCAGAACCCTCTGATTTTTTTTTTTATTCCAAGTGTTAAGCCCCACTAATTATAAGAACTCCCGACATCAGGCCCCCTGGTTTTAAAAGTTAAATGTTATGGGGATTTGTCTTCTCTGTGAGAGATCTGCATACCTAAAGTGCTTGATAATAGGGTTCCTCCCTCCCACAGACTGTCCCATGGGTCTATTTAGCTCCAGATCACACCTCTGCTCTTCCTACCTTGTCTACATTTTGCTGTGAATAATCTCTTCTGCTAATCTTTGGGTCATTTTCTGGGTTATTTACATTCATGTAGGTATTATCTAGTTGTATCCAGGGGACGAGGGTTTCCCTATTTTGGCACCCCCCCTCCCTATGAAGTCTTTTATCTTTTCAAAAGGGGAAGAATAATCTGCTTAGGAAGGAGGAGTACAGTCTTTGGGCATTCCAGTCAGTCAGGAATAGGCATTTCCATAACCTTTCTGGGTTGAGGAGAAAGACAAGGAATTGAGACTCGAGCATCCTGATCCCCAGGTTGAGCAGAAAGTCCTGCTAGGTGGGAGAAGAAAGATGTAGGCTTGGGGCCCGATGTAAAGCAGGCTTGCTTTTTGCTTCTTGGCGGCATTGATCTAACAAACTGCAAACCTCCTGGAGAAACCTCCTGACATTGGAACATGGTGCAAGTAGCTGACAAATGAGCAAAGGACTTAAGGACTTAAAGGAATGGACTGAAGTTAGCACTTCTAGTTCCCCACAGCCCACGAAGATCAAGACGTTTCTGCATATCCTAGAAGAATGCTAAAATAAACTGGGTCCAGGGTATACACTTGACTGAGCAGAGATCTCGAGCCACTGGGAAGGACCCATTTTGCAAGGCTGCAACACAAGGTAGTTAGGACTGTCACCCAGATGCTCCTCCCCACTGCCACCTGGGCAAAGAAGTAGGGAGACCTGGAGCTGGGATGCTCATAAGGGACTTGACTTTGAAGTAATTGAAAATGCCTCTGTGGCAATACTTAGATGTTTTTTAAACTGGAAAAGACTCAATTACTTTAATTGGCAAGATTTTGTTTCCTTCAGAAGCAAGAATGCAGAATTTGAGTGAAATGCAAATTTGCAATTTAAGGTAAAATATCATTTTGTTGAACAGCTGAACTGTGTGTACATTTTAATCTCACTATGTTGGGATCTTTTGGGGTGGGGGTAAGCTATCTCACATACCAAAAGTAGTCTGGGATAAAGAAAAAACTGGTTCTGGATTTAACACTGGAAAATAGAAATATTTATCATGGTGTAAAAGGACGAAAAGGTAGAGAAGAGCAGAGAAATGGGAAAAGTGGGAGCACCTCTCAGAAGCAAAGGAAAGAGGAGGCAATTGATGAATTCAGTGAAGGCCACAGGATGGTGAGCTGAGCTCTTGTTAGAAGACCTTTGATTTGATGAGGAGCCATTCAGAATTCTTGAGAATAGGCCATCCCAATGTGCTATTTACATTTTTTAAGATTCTTTTATATTTAGAGAGCGAGTGAGCACAAGTAGGGGGAAGGGGCAGAGAGAGAGAGAGAATCTCAAGCACTAAGTATGAAGCTTGATCTCCTGATCCTGAGATCATGACCTAAACCAAAACCCAAGAGTCAGACGCTAAATGGACTGAGCCACCCAGGTACCCCAATGTGGTGCTATTTTAATAGCCATAGTTTTCCATGTGATGTTAGTGCTGAAAGATAATGTAGTTTAACCCCATGGTCCTACAGATAAGCAAATATGAAACCAGAGACCTTTCACAGAAACCAGTTCAAATGATAAATGAGAAAAAAACCCCACATATATTACATTTGGGAGTCAGCTAGAATCAGCCTGTTTTGTGTCACTTGGGGGTAAAAGTGCATTGGGGCATGAATAAGCCTCCTTGGGAAATAATAAAGAGATCATTTATGAAATAGGCAAAAAGTTTGCTGGAAAGCATATACTCTGACAGTTGTGAAATGTGTTTTAATTTTTTATTAGAGAAGTTGGAAGTTTAATTTCAATATTGATGGTAACATAATTTTCTCTGCTTTGTTCAGAGGAACACACAGAATCAATTTGTACAAGCATATACAATTCAGTTGGTGTTTTGTGTCCTAAAATCAGTAATCTGATTAGTTCTAGACTACCAAATTTCCATGCGCTCCTCCTGGCTTTGGCCGCATGGCTCAATTCCCCGCGGAATACTTTTTCATGCACTGTCTGCAACACAACTACAGCAGGCTTAAGGACCATGCAGATTAACACTGTAGCAAATTGTTTTGATATTTAACAGACGTAAAAAGGTTATTTCCTGATATGAAATTCTGAAAATCTGCATAAATATTTTTGTGTAAAATTAAATTAGTTATGTATTTTTTTGAAACTAGAACTCGAAGTATCAAGAATGCCCACATAATTCATATACACATATATATAGACTTTTTCATTATGCTAAAAGTCTTGATAGTCAAATTATACTCTGTGCCATACATTTATTTAGCCAGTATTTATTTGGCATTATGTTAACTGTATCTGTACGGATTAGTCTTAATTGGTGCTTGTGTATCATGCAAACACAGTTCTAGTATTCCTGTTTACTAATCTTGTCATGTGGCAATACTTAGATGATTTTGCTCTATAACAGTGTGAATTAGGAGTATAAATACTTTATACACGGTCACATTTACAAACGTTTGCCAATAACCACTTCACAATCTTTATGGTGTAATAGTGTATTATAATGTCTGGAATCGGCAGAAGCAATTCCTATAAAGCAGTATCAGATGTAAACTGTCTTACGTGTGCCTAACAGAGTTCTCCCTGGAGCACTGATGAGTTTTGGCACAGGTACAAGTTCTATTTTTTTATTCTAATAATTTCCACAACTTTTACAGGGAATTAGCTTCTTATGGCATGGCAGAGACATGGCACTTACTGATGAGGTAATTTAGATGTGTAGAAAAATTCTGCAAAATTATTTGGCTAGCAGACTGCCACTTCTGCTGATGAATTTGTAGACAGAGTTTTTTTTTCTAGTGCATGCACTTGCTATTAAATCACTAATGCACTATTTTTGCTGCAGCTCAAACATGTCCTAATGCATCACAGAGCAGAGTTGTTTACACCAAGCTCATTCACTTGTGATGGTATTTTTTAGCAAAACATGTTTAAGTTGTAATATTCAATGGTTAAACTCTGCCTTACTGGGATAGTAATTTTGGTGGAGTTAAAGCTACTTTTGGTTGGCCAAAGAAATTCAATACTCAAAATGTTAAATAGAAGTATGTAAATCTCTGTGGTTTTGGGTAACATCTTGTCTATACATAAAGGAAACCCAAAAGACAACAGCTATCTTGCATGAAATCTGTGTTGGGATGGTTGGGGGTGATCTTATGATGCTGTGTGGTTTTGCTGCTTCAGTTTGCATTTTGGAGTTTCACACTACTGTTGCTGGTCTGCGGTCCATCTCGGCTTCCAATTTCACCATCTGCTGCATCTCCTTCGCCTGTAACATCAGAAATGTGGCCTTACATGTTGAAATCCTTTCCTGAAGGCATGCAGCCACCCCACACTCTCTTCTCCCCTTAATCTGATGCTATCACTACATCCCTCCTACTCAAAGTGAGGGCCATGGACCATGAGCGTCATCAGCACTGCCTGGGATCTTGGGAGAAATGCACAATCCTGGACTCCACCCCAGACCTACTGCATCAGAATGTGCATTTTAACAAGATCCCAAAGACACTTTTATGCCCATTAAAGTTTGTGAAGGACTAGTTTTACATAGTGCCAGGAAAACCATTTGAAAAGAGGCTAAACCAGTCACTCAGTGTTTAGACTATGTCACGTCAAACCATTTGGTTTAGTTTCTACAGGTGGACATGTTGCCTTGACTGTATGTAATTTGAACTTTTAGATTAAGTGTTGCCTATGGACAATATTTCCCCCAAAGAGCCTGAAATTTAATTAATTACCTAAGAATCTGACTGATGGAGAAGTTTAGGTGGGAGCATATCACATTGGTTTGGCTGGGGTAGCTTGCAAGTAGAACATTACAGGAATATGTACAGTTCTTAGAATCCTGCTGCCCCAACATTATCCCTACGAGCGTCACTTCTTGGGGTAATTTTTTATGGGTTTCCCCAGGAAGTAATTCATAAGATTGAGTTCACCATGGCTCAAGACTGTCACTGAGAAAACTAGGTGGTTTGGGAGGTAGAAAGGAATCAGGAGGTGAGGAGGGTGGGGAAGACTGGTGACAAATCAACTGGCTTATTTCAACATTTATTTTCCAACTAGAGTCTGGATGCTTGAGCCCAATCCAATGCACGTATCTTTTGAAGGAAAAATAAAGCATCCTTTTCCTCTTTTTGTGACATACCACTGTTAAATAAAGACATTTAAGAATGGAAACATGATATATAAAGATATAACTTAGAGGAGGATTCTGAAGTACTGATGTTACTGCTCATGTCTGCTTAGGTATTCCAACCAAATGGAAGATCAGTAGGGGGGCTGACTCAAATCTGAAGATCATCCTATGAGCTTCTAGAGGCCCTGTTACAAAACTAGTTTCACCGTGGACATATAGTAATTTCCTTATTATTTTCATATTATGGCTTTGAATTTCCCTTTGGCAAAGATGAATATAGTAATACAAAAGAATTTTATTTTTCTCCTCAAATATGAGATGGATGGTTCCCTCTACCTAGATATTTTTCTATGCCTGAAGTTTACTAATACTCTGAGAGAAATGAGAAATGGAGAAAAATATACAAACATGAAACTATGACACAAACGGTATTCATAAGAGATGACAGTGAAACAGTATCCGCACTGCAAAGTAAATACTTTTATGTTCAATAAACAGTAATAAGATTCCCTATACTTGTCCCTACTTAGCATTTAAATACAATACTGAACGCAGTTAAAAGGGAAGAATCATATGCTATTACAGGACTATTCTTAGAGCCAGGTTCTCAGATGACCAGGGTGACCATTCATTCCCATTTGCTGGGTACAGTTCCAGTTTATGCCTGTAGTCCTGGCAATTATGAACATCACGTACTTTCACTCTCAAATTCAGATAATAATTTATATGGTCACCTTACTAATGAGAGGTGATTAGGGTCCTTGACAGACCAGATCTAGCAGAAAGGATGGCAAGAGTCACTGTACAGTGACACTGTATAATGTTTCTGTATGCAGACCATAACTCTCATTAAAAAGCACCAATGAACTTTGAGTAGGTGCTTTACAAATTAATTGCAGTCATATTAATGCTTGTGAAAGGTCTGACTTTGTGACCCAGTCTTAGCTGTGGTGGGTCCAAATGACAGTCATGTATCACTGTTCTTGATGCCTGGGGATATCTTCATTAGCATGACTTGAGTTTCCTAGGTCTGCAGTAGGAAACGCTGGCTAAGACACCCTCAGAAAAAATTCTCTAAAGATTTTGGGCATTTCAGTTTGAATATTACATCAGAAATCCAAGCATGAAATTATCAAGCTTTTAAATCCAAACCCTTGAGATACTAATTAGTTATGACCAGATGTGAATCATAAATGGAGAGTGCGCCAAGCATACTAACAGAGCTGAGAAGGAAAGCAATGTCTTGCTTATCAGAGTTTTGGTCCTACCTTGTGTTTGGGACACTGCATGGCAGGATTTCAATAGCTGTTTGTACAAAAATAGTAATGTCAAAATTGAGTCATACATATAAAACAAAGAAAATAAATGAATACTGAAGTGAATTTGAAAAATGAATGCAAAACCATATACAGAAAAGCAAAAAGCTAATAATAAAACATGTATACACCCATCAGTGACGAACTCCCCCCAAGATTGATCTCAAAAAAAAAAAAGAAAAAAAAAAAAAAAGAAAAAAACAAACAACCAATGCCTAGGAGCCCAGACTGTGCTTTTTCTCCTGCAGGAGTGGGGAACCCTCCCTTCAGCAAGAACACTCACTTCTCTTTATTAAATGATAGGACTGATGATAAAAATCAACTTTTAAAGCTTGGGTGTGATGGTAATGGAGTTGTTAATGTCTGAAATGATACATGTCAGGATGGATGACATATTAGTGGCTAGGAGGTCTCTGGGAAAATTTAGTAGAAAACAAACCCCCAACCTTTGGAGTTTTATTTTATTTTTAAAAAATTTTTTTTTAATTTTTATTTATTTATGATAGTCACACAGAGAGAGAGAGAGAGGCAGAGACACAGGCAGAGGGAGAAGCAGGCTCCATGCACCAGGAGCCTGATGTGGGATTCGATCCCGGGTCTCCAGGATCGGGCCCTGGGCCAAAGGCAGGCGCCAAACCGCTGCGCCAGCCAGGGATCCCCACCTTTGGAGTTTTAAATGAAGAATCAGATGACCAAGTAAGCAAGACCATTAGGTGGCTTAAAAAGAGCACATGAGGTTAGGATTCAGAATCGGGGACAAATTCTATTAAAACTTGAGTTGTTTCTGCTAGTTCCCTCAATGCTGGTCTAGCTAATTAAGTAGATCCTTGGGGAGATGAGGTGAGCTCCTGGGAGTAGGGTCACAAGGATGCAGTAAAAAGCCTTAAAGAGATATTATGGATGAATGTTAAAATTAATTTATCTCTGGCTTAGCAACAGAAAATAGTCTTTGGCTTTAATAAGGGTTTGGGAGACTTACAAAAATTTAGGATTGTCTGGAAATAGGAAACTTTTCTGCCAATGAAATGTTTAATTGGTTATCAAGGGAGCTTTCCTACCTGATTCCAGATCTTGCCCATTGTGAGGGAAGAAAGGCAGTCACTGTGTCTTTTGCATCTATGCCTGCTACAGGGTTGTAACACACTGAGTAACTAAGAGCTCTCTGATCTTTAAATTCCAAACAAGACAAAACCATTCTAGACAGATCTGGGACTGAATTTGTTATTGAACAGCCCATGTTTTTGTAAAGCAAGGCTTAACATGAAAATTCAAGTCCAAATTCTACCTCTGCTAGAAGCATCAATAGGATATTGTGTATTTCTTTTCATTGTCTCTCATTAAATCTGCATCAAATCTCAAGTATTCTCATGATCTGTGCTTTCCTAAGCTTCTGAGACTCGAAGTATCAGTTGTGGGTGGTAGATGTTGCTTATGACATATTGATAGGCATTACGTGAATTTTTGGAACAAAAAGCTACTATCCTCCCAATATACCCAATCAGTCCAGTGATCACTTATCCAATATATTTTAATGCAAGAACTCTGATGTGGTTTGAATTCTCCATGTATTTAGGATAAAAGCTCAAAGTGATTTTTTTATGTACTTTGGCTCTGAAATTAAAAAAAAAACAGTAGGTAAGTGTATTCTCTAGCTCTGATATTCATTATTGTAGTAATGAGTAATTTTTAGCACATTTACATTCTTTAGTCAAACCTGTTGCTAAGCAACACAGTAATTTCTAAGTAGTTTCTTAATTTAGTTAACTGAAACATAACGGTACCTTACCTTCACTGTGCCTTCTGAGAGGCATCCTTACCCCACCCAGCCCTGAATCACTGAAGTGGATCCTAACGCTTTGGAGATGGTGGTTTTACCTTTATTCATACTCCCATTTGGCCCTGAGATGGTGGTTTTACCTTTATTCATACTCCCATTTGGCCCATGGAAACACTTCTGAGAAGTGCTTTACGAGCAAAAACATAAGCTAGGTAACTTGTACCAGAACATGATGTATCTATGAGATGGTCAAATGAACTGGACCCACAGGACAATAAACATTTATTGTCCTCCTTGAGGATCTGTGGACTGTTCATGAATAGAAGCATTTAGCTGAGAAGGAAATGTGAAACATAACTCAGAAGTATGCTGATGAATAAAACCTTCTGTCTCCCAAAAAGTAACAAATTTGAAACTGGAAGTTGGATTTGTTACCCAAGCACAATACAAAAAAGATTTTATGGTTTGGTTTTGCTTTCTTGAAGATACATTTTAGTGTAATTCCAACTGAAGTAGTTTTCAACAGGAGCCATTTACTCTGAGAAATATACCTTAAAGAGGATTGGTTTATAGATGGAGGAGATAGGAAAAACCAATGTAGTATGTACCTCATCAAACCCACTTCACAGTTTCTAGATGGAAGTAGGTTATCTAGATAAAAAACTTCTAAATCAGCTATATCTAAAAAACTGAAATTTGAACTGAGGCAGACTGAAATCTAAACTGCTCTGCAGGGTCATTTTGCCTTATAAGCTAGAAGTATGGCCATCAAATTGAAATACTTGGATGGCCAATGGCCTGTATAGCCCATTTGGGAAGGAGCCCACCTGTACTATAGCTCTTGGTGTTGCTATCTAAAAGCCGACAGCTAACTAAAGAGCTTAGTGTTTTGCCTTGCTGGGGAAGAAAACAAAATTATGGTATCCACTGGTGTTCAGTGGTTTGTAGAGTTTGGGCAGCTCCTTTCTGGGGGGTCCCACTTGAAGGCTCTGAGACAGTTTTATACTTTCACTTTTAGATTGAAGTGGAAAAGAGGTGGTTTCTCACATTTGCTTTTGAACATAGCAAATGTTTAAACTTGCTTGCCCCTAGGCTGCATATTCTAAAGCTGTAACTGAAAATGGAGAAATAATTTGTAACCTTTGTTTTCTCCTTTCAGGGACATCATTCTTAGATTCAGCACAATCTATTCAAATGATGACTTTGAGGGTTACCTCCCTTGCTTCCCGCCCTGCCCTGCCATGGTTACATTCCTTTTCCACTTCCAAAAAGAATTCTTTGTCTTGTTTGGTGAAATGGGGGAAAATAGAGTAAAAGGCACACATTTTTTTCTAGCCACCTTTCCACACCACTACTCAGGCTACCAGCTTTAGCAGAAGGGTCCCTGCTGGCTTGGCATCTGCCTCCCAAAGTGAGGTGGCTATGTCTTTTTAGGCCTTTTAGATAAGATACCTGCTCATTCTGTTTCTCTAGGAACTCTAGGTGTTCAAGCTGGACTTTTTTCAACTGATCCATTTCTTTGGACTGTTTCATTGCAAGCTGTAAAACAGAAAAATTCTGATAAACTTTGGGTTGCAATCTGAAAATTTATGGATGGGGTATGATTGTTAAGTCAACAATTTAACCAAGGGAGATATTTATTACAGAATCATGAAAAATAATCTGAAAACTAAAAGAGTTTATACCCAAAATTAGTACTGGGAAGATCTTCCCTGTTAAATCTTCTCAGAATATAATAGATTATTTATGCACAATTAAAGCTTGGTTTCCTTTTCCATATAAAATGGTGCCAGATTAATATCTTAAAGATTTTAGTGTTAGATTATTTAGCTCTCTGGGAGCAGGCAAGAGAAGCTAGAAAGTTTAATGTACAGAAAAATCAAATTAGGCAAATTAGCCAGAAGAGGTCTGATATCTAAGCATGAGTTATTGTTTACACTGCCAAGAAAATTATAAAATACTTACTCTCTTTCTTTCTTCCAGAAACTTTTTGGTGTTGCTGCTATTTAACTCCCTGACTCGCCTAAAATAACAGGTACAAATAATAGTTGGCATGACATCGAATAGAATCAACATAATATTAAATGAGAAAGTGCTATATTCCATTTAATTCTCTGGATGGGATTATCACTTTATCCAAATTTTTGCAGAATTTTAAAACACATAATGTACAGAGAAAAATACAAACATCTTTGTACCCAAAACTCAGATTAGTCAATACTGATGTTTTGCCATGCTTGACTCATATTTTTGTCAAATAAATAAATACTTTTTAAAGGGAGAGAGAGAGAGAATGTGAGCACAAGCAGGCGGAGCAGCAGAGGGAGAGAAGCAGACTTCCCACTGAACAGGGAGCCGACATGTGGCTCCAGCCCAGGACCCCGAATCATGACCTGAGCCTAAGGCAGATGCTTAACTGACTGAGCCACCTAGGTGTCCTGCTTGTCTCATATTTTTAAAGGAAACAAAGTGTTACATATATACTTAAAGCCCCTTTTGTATTTTTCCTGATTTCATTTCCCTCCTTTCTTTTTTCTTTTCTTTCCAGACATAACCACTATTTTGAATTTGGTGTGGAACTTCCCATCCATGTTTTAATATTTTTATTCCATATGGATGTATCCATTTGCAATACATACAAGTGCTTCTCACACTTTCAGGTGCTTACAAATCGAATGGATATACTGTTAAAACACAGATTGCTGGACCCACACATAGAGGGTCTGATTCATGGGTCTGGAGTGGGGCCTGAGACTCTGCATTTCTAACAAGCTCCCAAGTGATGCTACTGGTCTGTATTGTTCTTTGTGTTTTCTAAATTTACCTAAATGGTAACCTATTCTGGGCTTTTTCCTCTAATTTATTATTTAGCCCAAGTTTTAGAGATATAGCTATGTTCCAAACTCTTCCATTACTTTCATCTGCTGTATGGATTTTTTCATTTTTGAAGAGAATATATTCTCAGTTTGCCATTAATGACAAATAGGTTCTTTCCAAACAATGCTCAATGACCTGGTGCATAGGGCCCTGCAATGCTTGACACCCTATCTGTTGACTAAATAAATGTGGGGCATATCTTCCTGTACATATGAGCCCAAAGATTTCTCTAAGGTATACACCTAGATTTGCAGGTTGGTAGGGAAATGAATAGTTTCATCTTTACCCCAAAGCACTGGACCTTATTTGCACTCACAATCAATGTCCGAATGCTACCTTTTCTTCATGTCTTTGTCCTCAATTGATTCTGTCAGACACTTCCTTTTTTTTTTTGTCAATTAGTTTTGTGAAATGGCATCATTACCAGTGAGGCCGGAGTGCTTTCCATGACTGAATAGGCCTATAACTGATTGAACTTCTCTAATAGCTATAAGTCTGTTCAGGTTTTCTCCTTCCTTTCCGTCTGTTTTGGAAACTGATAGTTTTCTAGGCAATTGTCCATTCCACATAAGTGTCCGAACTCACTGGTCATATTGTCTTTACTTTCAAAAATGTTGATTATATCTGCAGTAATTTCTCCTTTTTATACCTAATATTACTAACTTGTGTTCTTCTGCTTCTGGCTCAGTCTTGCTGGAGGTTCAGATTTTATTTTTTTCAAATAATAAGCTTTTTTTGCTAATATTCTTTTCTACTTCAATACTTTTTGCTTTTATATTTCTCCTTATCAGAGATCTTTGGGTTCACTCTGTATTTCTAATTTTATACTCTCTTGAGTGTTTAATTAATTAGTTTGCATTAATTTTATAATGTATATACAGCTAGGGGCACCTGGGTGGTTCAGTCAGTTAAACGTCTGACTCTTGATTTCAGCTAAGGTCAAGATCTCAGAGTTGTGAGACTGAGCCTCATATAGTGCTCCACATTGGGCATGGAGCCTGCTTTAGATTCTCTCTCTCCCTCTGCCTCTTCTCCCCACCCCATTTGTACTCACTTTCTCTCTCTCTCTCTCGAAAAAAAAAAAAAGGTTATATACACCTAGGCTGTAATTCTCACTCTAAATATCACTTTAGCTACCTTTTTTTTTAAGGTGAAAACATTTAAGAGCCACTCTCTTTAGTATCTTTCAAGTATATAATGCAGTACTGTTAACTATAGTCAATATTAGATCTCTGGAACTTACTCCTCTTGTAACTGGAAGTTTGTCCCCTTTAACTAACATTTTCCCATTTCTCCACCTTCTTAACTCCTGGAAACATCATTTTACTCTGTTACTATGAGCTTGGCTCTTTTTTTAGATTCCACATATAAGTGACATCATGAAGTATTTGTCTTTCTCTGGTTTACTGCACTTAGCATTATGCCCTCAAGGTCCATCCATGTTGCCACAAATGCCAAGATTTCCTTCTTTTTTAATGGCTAGATAAAATTGTTCTGTGTGTGTAGGCACATGCGGATGTAAAAATCACATTTTCTTTATCCATTCATCCATTGATGGGCACTGAGGTTATTTCCATGTCTTGGCTATTTGAATAATGCTGCAATGAACAAGGGGGTACAGATACTGCTTTGGTATAGTAATTTCATTTCCTTCAGAATCATGCCCAGAAGTGGAGTTGTAAGATTGTATGGTATTTCTGTGTTAATTTTTTTAAAGATTTTATTTATTTATTCATGAGACACACAGAGAGAGAGAAAGGCAGAGACACAGGCAGAGGGAGAAGCAGGCTTCATGCAGAGAGACTGAGGTGGGACTTGATCCCGGGACTCTTGGATCACGCCCTGGGCTGAAGGCGGCGCTAAACCGCTGAGACACTTGGGCTGCCCTCTGTTGTTAATTTTTAAAGGAACTTCCAGATTGTTTTTTATAGTGGCTGTACCAATTCACATGGCTCCAACAGAGCAGAAAGATCCTCTTTTCTCCACATCCTACCAGCATTTGTTCTTTCTTATCTTTTTGGAAAATAGCCCTTCTAACAGGTATGAGGTTTTATTTTATTGTGGTTTTGATCTGCATCTCCCGATGATTAGTGATATTGAACCCTTTTCATGTGCCTCTTGGGCATCTGTATGTTTTCTTTGGAAAAATGTCTACTCAGGTCCTCTGCCCACTTTAAATTCAGATTCTTTTGTTGTTATTGAGTTGTGTGAGTCCTTATACATATTTGAATATTAATCCCTGATACATGGTTTACAAGTATTTTTTCCCATTCCGTAGGTTGCCTCTTCAGTTTGTTGATTCTTTTGCTGTGTGCTTTAGCTACCTTCTACACATTGATAGTACTTGCATTGTTGGTCAGTTTTAAATATTGCATAATTTCTGTTGAAATGTCTTCTTTGACTCAGGAATAGAATTGTTTGTCGGCTTCTATATGTCTTGCTAAGCTATCTGATTATAAAGTTTTAATTTTAATTCTTGGGACTTCGTTAAAGTGGACACATAATGTGCGTGTGTAGAAGGTAACCATTCTGCACAGAGAAATTATTTTAAAAACAAGCCATTTGTAGATGTTTTAGAACCACCTATCACTGGAAACAAAGTCAAATAAAAAAATTAAAAAGTTGGTCAATATCAGTAACTCAGAGTTTAAGATAATAGGACCTCGACTGGGCTGAAGTTCACTTTGTAACATACTTGAAAGAAATGATAAAGAGCTGTTTAATGATGAGCACATTTATCCTACTGAATTCTATATTATACTTTAGGCAATCTAAAATAGTTCAAATGGATGTTTTATCATGGCTGGAATATTTTACGTTTTTGAGCTAAACCAGATAATGTCAATTCCACACATATAAGGCCCTTAAAACAAAGTTCCTTGTCTGAGAATAAATAAATAAGAACAACAGGATGGTGCAAAGATTAAATGGAGTAATAATTTCCCTAGATGCTCCACATTGATTGGGAAATTTTTCAAGCAACATTTTAAAGAGTCACTTCATTTCCATTTCCAATAGTAATTGAGATGTGCTTTAAAAAGTCAATGAAATTGAGGTAGTTGGACAGCAATTCTTGCCATGTTCAAAATAAAGAGAACACATCAGGTATCCAATGAGCATCCATCCATAAGACCATGTAGACAAGGAGACCATGAAGCACAGGTACTTTCCTTTGCAGCTACAAAGTTCTGCAGCAGCTCAGCCTACAGCTAAGGGAGAGTGGAATGCCTTGAAGCCCTAAATGTGCTCAGGTCTCAGTCCTAAGACTAATCTTCACTTGGCTCACTGGGAATCAAGTGCTCTTAACTCCCTCTCTTAGGTAACATGACTCCTGATGTCCTCTCAAATCTACTTTACTGTCTTTGCCTAAAGGGTTTGCACCTAGAACCTTCTCTGGAGGTCAAACTTTTCCCCAGTCCCAGGATGTGACTAACACAGAAATACAAAAGCGAGATACCGTTGGTTCAAAGAGATCAGTGGTGCAGCTTACCCTGTAGAGCTTGGGATCAGGCTGAAGGACTCACTGTAGCTGAGACCAACATACCCTTACTCCGCCACTGCTTGGGACCCTTCCTGCTTTCCTACTCTTCTTCTCTGAAGATCCCTTCCTCAGTAAATCACACACAACCAAATTCCTATTTTAGTCTGTTTCTAAAATAAATAAATAAATAAATACCCCAACCTAAGATAAGGTCAAACAAGCAAAACTGAGTGGGGGCTTTCGAGATGACCCCGGCGTCAAGGACAGCACAAGGCAGATCAAAGGCAGAAGACTGACCATCTACAGGCTACTATTTAGAACCATCCCATCCAGAATATCCAGTATGGATCCTCACTGGGGCAGAACCAGTGAGATGCTTGTGGGAGGACCCAATGGAATGTGGGAAGGATATTTTGCCATATTTTATACAATTTTGTTTGGAGGTGAGCACACATATATTGAATGTACATTTATCTGCCTTGTGGTAGTAAACAATCAGAAGACAAGTGTTCTATAGCAACAACAATAAAGCTCCGCAGCAGTTATAATAGCAGAATTCTTAGCCAATACTCACAAGGATTTTGAGTACGCATATGTATACACACATAAATGCTGTTGAGTTTATGCCTCTCCACCAGTGCTACCTCCCCAGAGCGAGTATTCTCAGGCTTACCTTTCCCGTTCTGCTTTGTTCTTGATAGATTTATCTTGGCTGATGGCTTTGCTGTTTTCCATAGAAATCTTAGCCTGGTGTGCTCGCATTTCCTTGCTTTCCCTAAATATTATAAGGAAACAAATGGGAGCGGGGGTAAATGGGGAGTTAGTGTTTACTGGGGACAGAATTTCAATGTAGGGGGAGATGAGAAAGTCCTGGAGATGGATGGTGCTGATGGCTGCACAACAGTATGAATGTGCTGACTGCCACATACTTTTAAACACAGTAAAAATGGCAAATTTTATGTTATAGTTAAATACGCATAATAAAAAAAGTAAATAAATTCTACGTGTAACAACAAGACTAGGTTCACTTTTCTGTTTTTCATTTTTGAGCTCATCAAGTTATTCTGTATACTGTGAAAAGGTGAGAAAGAGCCCCAATCCATGATAAGTGGAAGTGGGTCACCTACTGGGGAAGTAATAATGATGATCTGGGATGAAGAGTCATTATGTTTGTCCATAAAAATATAAAGATCTTCCAGCTTTGCCCTAAATTTCTTGGAATCAGATGGCCTGGAAGAGACAGAGTATATCCTGACCCTCACAAGTGATTTTCATGTTCTCTGACACCTCATGGGAATGAAGGGGACAGGGTAGTTTCAGATAAGCATGGGAAGGAGGGAAAAAAGCATGTTTACATAAGGCTCCCGATCCCCGCATGTGCTAGAATGTCTGTGCACATGAGAAAGAGATCATTTATGTGTATATTAAAGGGATACATTTTATTTTATTTATTTTTTAAAGATTTTATTTATTTATTCATGAGAGACAGAAAGAGAGAGGCAGAGACATAGGCAGAGGGAGGAGCAGGCTCCATGCAAGGAGCCCGATGTAGGACTTGATCCCAGGACTCCAGGATCACACCCTAGGCCAAAGGCAGACGCTAAACCACTGAGCCACCCAGGCATCCCAAAAGTATACATTTTAGAACACTGAAATGAATGTTATTAACAAAGAATTTTTTCTGGAACTTATAGGGTCTCCTTGAAATCATTCCTGGAAATGAGTGACCAAGGAGTCAGGTGTTCTAAGTACTTTCTGCATTCTATCAAAAGTGATGGACAACACCAAGCCTACAGAGGCAGGAATATGCATGAAACTCCTAGCCAAAGAAAATGGCTCTCAAATTGTTAAGTTCATGTCAGTAAACTGACCATTTCTGTATCCATTCATTCAATAAGCGCTTCTCAGTGACCGAATGTGGCTGACTAGTCTTAGGGGGTAAGATTTTTTTAAAAAGATTTTATTCATTTATTCATGAGAGACAGAGAGGCAGAGACACAGGCAGAGGGAGAAGCAGACTCCCCACAGGGAGCCCAATGCGGGACTCAATCTCAGGACCCGGGGATCATGACCTGAGCTGAAGGATCATGACATCCAACCACAGAGCCACCTAGGTGCTCCAAGGGCAAGATTTCTTTTTAACAAAGAGCAACAGCCATAATGATGAGGAAGATACAACCACAGGGTGCTTGAGAAAAAGCCTAAACGCTGCTGTTACTTGGAAAAATGCCCCTGCAGAACATTCATTTTTTAAGGTAAATTAGTAATTAGGTTATGCTCTCTTCAAATAACTTCCTAAGCCATGCAAGAATTAGTTTACCTTTTTCCCTTTTGAACAATGCCTACCGTTGAGGGCTATCTTTTTTCTTTATTCAATGACAAGAAAGATAAGAGAGGAGTGTCTTATCCTATGAAATTTCTCTAAGTAAGGCTACATGCCTACAATCAGGTCTGCTTACCACTCTTTGACTACTGCTGCAGTACCATTCTGTGTACTGAATCAAGAAAAAAAGAAAAGACAACTCCTAATTTTATACAACTTGATAGAATGCTTTAAAATGGAAAGGGTATAGACCACAACCCTCCAGCAAACCTAAGCACAGAAAATTCATTCCTTTGCCTTGAATGAGAATCAGCAATGATGGCAAAACAGTTCTCGTTCTTACTGCTGGATCTATCACTTCAAAACAAGGTTGGGAATTCATGGAACACACCCAGATAATTTATGCAGTTAACATTTGAAAACTTTTTTGTGGGTGGCCCAGGTGGCTCAGCGGTTTAGCACCACCTTCAGTCCAGGTGGTGATCCTGGAGACCTGGGATCCAGTCCCATGTCAGGCTTCCTGCGTGAAGCCTGCTTCTCTCTCTGCCTGTGTCTCTGCCTTTCTCTCTCTGTGTCTCTCATGAATAAATAAATAAAATCTTAAAAAAAAAAGAAAACCTTTTTGTTTGCTTTGTTTGTATAATGCTTCTATTTTCTACTCTTTTGTGCGTATCAATAGACCCTAACAGTGGCATAGAGTAGGCATGAAGGGAGAAGCAGGGGGCTGTAACAAAGCTGTGATAAAAGGAGCTAACTGACATTCATCAACTCTCTTCTGATGGGGGCAGGGTCAGGGTGAGGTGCAGCTCATCATTTGCAGTATTTTATTTTTTTTTAATTTTTTAAAAATTATTTATCTATGATAGTCACACAGAGAGAGAGAGAGAGGCAGAGACAAGGCAGAGACATAGGCAGAGGGAGAAGCAGGCTCCATGCACCGGGAGTCCGACGTGGGATTCGATCCTGGGTCTCCAGGATCGCGCCCTGGGCCAAAGGCAGGCGCCAAACCGTTGCGCCACCCAGGGATCCCCCATTTGCAGTATTTTAAATGTAATATTCAGTTTGCAGACGCTGGAGGAAACCCACATAAACTGACACTTTATTGCTGTTTCTTGATTAAGCCTACCTTCTAAAATTCCTTATAGTCCTAATAATGTGAAGAAGGGTCTCACCATGTTTGGCCATTGAGTGATCAGATCCAAACTGATCTAAGAGCTTAACTAGCTAGTCTTTGTCTCCCTCTGTTTCTTCTCTTCCTAAAAGGCTCCAGACCATTTTCCAAAGCCCAGAGTTGGCCCTACTGCTGTGAAGCCTCTGTGACCACTCTGGAGGCAGCAAGCTCTTTTGGGCTGCACTGCTTTTTAGGATGCATCATATACTATGTGTAATTCAACTTAGTTTTTCATGTGAGTGTTAATACCTTGCCAATACTTGTAAGCACTTTGAGGCCACTGCTATGGTTCATGTTGCTCGCCTCAGCTATATGACATGGTATGTGTAACAGCTCAGTTTTAATACAAAATTAGGAGTTCCCTCTGGAGAAGGCACATTGCCTACCTGTCATGGGACAGTTTCAGCTGCTGGGTCTGCTGCTCATGGGCACTGATCAGTAGCTTTCTCAGGAGCTCACACTGCTGGCTAAGGTGCAGGTCCCGGATTTCTTGCTCCTCAGCACTGTGGGTGTTGATCATTTCTGACCACTCCTTTGTGTGCTGGGCCACTATCTCTTTGACCTGTGTGGGAAAAGGGACAGTGGCACTCAGAACTCTCAGAGATCAGGTATGAAGTGAAAACACAGTATCAGTCATGCATTTCAAATTCCACCCACCAATTTAGTTGGTGAATCAACAGATACTACAACCTGCAAAAAAATACGTATTAATCCATGGGAATCAGGAAGTCATAAGTTATTAAAATAATTAATTGCTTTGGCTCTAAATACTCAGCTGTCACCTGTGACTTCACTGCCTAACTTGTTTGTGTTACCTTCTACCCAGGCCCTGGACTCCTTTTCTGATTCTAACAGATTCTCCTCATCTCCTCATGCTTTTCCAGCTTCATATCCACAAGCCCACAGGTCTGAGGAGAGCTCTAGGTTCTCTTATCTCTGGATTGTGACTCAGTGTGTCAACCCTAATGGATGTGGGGGTAGAAAGTCTTCCCATCCCCGTATCCATTGCTCTTTGCAGTGTGGTTTTGTAACTTCCCTCATCAAGAGCTAGAAGTCCATTTCCCCACCTCCTTGAATCTGGCTTATCTTGTGACTTGCTTTAGCCATGAGACAAGAGCAAATGTGGTGCAAGAAGAATCTCCCTCTTTCACTCTCTGGAGCCCCATTGCTACCTTGTGACAGAGCCTATGCTAGCCTGTTGGAGGATGAGAAGTCATGTAGAAAAAAGCAAGCACAGCCAGCTAATGACTAGATATGAGTTATAGCCATCTATCCCAGCTGAATACAGACGCATGAGTGAGCCTATTCAGAATCAGTAGAGCTACCCAAGTGAGTATAGCACAAATTCTGACCCCCTGAATTTTAAGTTAATAATTGGCAGGTGTCTTGAGTCACTAAATTTTAACATGGCTTACTGTGCAGCTAAAGCTAACTGGTATCATAACCATTTCTTGTGTTTTTGGGGGGAATAGGAGTAATTGGGCTCATCTCCCTAGAATGTCATCTCTTGATTTTTTTTTCCCAATTCTAAACTTCCAACACAAAGTTAGAATGGAAGAAGTATCAAAGATTTACTCAATCCACAAGTTGGGTGGTTTTTTGTTACTTGTTTCATGTTACCTCTCTAGAGAAGCATGCTCTGTATTATTCGTTTGTTTGTTTATTTATATTTATTTAAGATTTTATCTATTTATTCATGAGAGAGAGAAAGAGAGAGAGAGAGAGAGAGAGAGAGAGACAGACAGACAGGCAAAGGGAGAAGCAGGCTCCATGCAGGGAGCCTGACGTTAGGCTCCATTCCGGGTCTCCAGGATCAGGCCCCGGGCTGAAGGCAGCACTAAACTGCTGAGCCACCTGGGCTGCCCACGTTCTGTATTTTATATAGTATTTCCTCTTAGACAATGTGCTGTTTCACTTCATACCCCTAAGGCAGACAACATGGACAGACTGTATGCATATTTCTACAGATGAAGGAAGAGATGCTCCAGGAAATGCCTCTTCTCAAAGCCAGTGAGTCTCGAACAAATGTGAATGCCGAGATCCCTTGACTTCCCAGACTAGACCCAAGTTATCATTATTTCTGATTTACATCAGGTAGGGCTTCTAAAAAATTAGAAAGTATCTTTTGCAAGTTCCTGCTGTAAAAATAGGCATTTTCTTACCTTAGATTTGTGATCTGATGTCAGTGTCTGAATTTTAATTTCTGTTTCTTTTTTCATTTCGAGACAATTACTTCCCCTGAAAATGGAAAATCATCAGTGTGTGCCAGATGTTAGATATCTTCCCATTCCCATGGGCCCTTGCTCCAAAGCTTTCTAATGAAGACAATTTGTTCATCAAACATGGGTTGCCATGGCTCATTGGGCAACATCAGTATTTCTAGTAATAGATGTACACCTTAGAAAACATCCACATCATGATTACTCAATTCAACCACTATACAAAGAGACACTGTAGATCAAATAATGATTTCATTGTTAAGGGTCTGTTGTCAGAGTTTCCATTTTGGTTCCTGCTTTTCTTTAGGATAATTTTTCATTTATTCAATAAAATATCATTGGTGATAATAACTAGAAAAGAGGTCCTCAGGCTTGAAGCAAATTTTTAAATTCTTTCTGGTTATAAAGACAGATTTTTGTCTTTTACACATGCCAGCAAGGCAGAAAATAGCATTCTTGGCATCATAGGGCAATTTTTGCTTCTTATTCTATTGTGAGTAGGAAATACATACAAGGCAATTTCCCAGCAACCCATTACTGCTTATTTCTGTGATTATTTTTCCCTTTTGGATTATCTGAGCATTGCTGAAACCAGAACAGGTCCTGAGCTTCTGTCTTCAGCATATATCCTCTGATGTATTATGGCCTAACTTGGAATGCTTCATTATATTTTTGAGAATGTCTCTGAAAGAAGCAGTATTCTAAAAATGCTAGGACCCTCATCAGATCTATTACTTCTCAAGGGCTGGCACCAAGTATGCTCTCCCTTTAGTCTGTTATTTGGTGAGCTTGTGGCATCACAAAAACATCCCCCTGGCTTAATGCTAGACAAAATATTTTCTGGTAAATGCAATGATAAGTTTCATTTAAGTCTTATCTGTTGGCATAAGCTAAAGATTCTTGCAATATTAAAAATCTCTGTAATATTAAAAATCAAGATATTATTTATTATCTGGCTATGCAAAAGGATTTATGTAATTTCAAAATTTCCCAACTTTAGCTTGTCCTTCCTTTTCTCCTCATTCACCTTAAAGATACCTGAATGAAAAACACATGTGAGACATAGTTATGGTGTCACCAACCAATGGCTGTCGAACTGGAATAAATCTCTTTTCCATTTCATTCCCTGCCTTCAGTTGAATGAGTTGCTTATTTCCAAGAAAACTTTTTAATGATGAAAACACAGTCAAGACTAAGTTCTTCCTTGGCCTAAGCAGTCAACTGAACTGTGGGGAAAGACAAAATATAAAAAGGCAGACAGCTTCCAGAAGGAAATAAAGAGCCATTACCCCTTCTTCTTCATCGCCTTCTCTAGGATTTTCTCATGTGTCGACTTCTCTTTGTCATACTGTGCCACAATTTTGTCAACTTGTGTGCAGTGCAACTTCTGCATGGTGCTGTGTTCCTGAATAAGAAGAATCTGCAGTTACATGTTGAGTTCTTCCAGTGTGGCTAATAAACTTAACCTATGTTGGGCTGGAACGGTTTTCACCAGCTTTCCCAGAATCTTGGGTTTAGAAATCTAGGAGTAACCGCTACTGAGAAGTGGAAGTATTTCCAATCTCCCACCCAACACAGGAGTTTCTTGTATGAGGGACACCCTAACAATGGAGTGTCTAGCCTCAGCCTAAAGAACACACCCACCCAAAAGGCATCTCTGCCCACTACTGGGCAACGCCAATCATCCCAAAGTCCTCTCTTCTATACATACATGTTTTCCACAGAACTTTTACCCAACCATCTTTGTTCTGTTTGAGACACATAATTAGTCCACAGCCTCTTCCACACATTGGTTCTCAAATACCCAATACGTATTTTCTCTCTTCCACATGCTAAGTGTAACTATTCACATGTGACATTGCTTCTAAACACCCAGGGCATTTTGGGAAGGTGTTAAATACCACCATTAAACAGTGAGAACTGCCAGTGGGGTTGTCACTGTCAGCTGACTTCAAATCCACATCACATGGTATTTTCACTGGCCTCCTCATCTAGGTGCATTCATGAGGATGACACAGTGTCCAGGAGCTGTGGCGTTCAGCTTTATAGATGTTTAAAATATTTCCCCTTCTGCTTCACATAATTAGGAAATTGGGGCTGCAACACTTTGAAAATAAGTATTTTTCTATAAACATTATTTCCTTCTGATAATTTGATCACAGCCAGTAACTTCTCTGAAGTCAGATTTCTTTAGCTTCTTACCTGGCCAATGTGGAAGATTGCCAGGGCAAATCCATACAATCAGGAATACACTTGCTGCTATATCCTAGTCTTAGTCTTGAGAAACTAGAGGAATGGGATGGTGTTGAAGATGGGAAGGGATGGATTTTTTTCAGACTGTATTTCCTTTTCCTTATTTTTTAAAGTGAGTAACTTAAAGTCTAGCCTACCCTAGGAAAACTTTTTTTTTTTTAAGGAAACCTAGTTTATGAACATATTTAAAAGATTTCATAAAATATAAATGAGGAAGGTATATTTAATTTTACCAAGATTTCCTTAATGTCCCAGGGCTGTTAGTTGATTAACATAGGGCTTGATCTATATAATTTGTTTATATATGTATTTTTCAGAAAAATGTTGGTGCACATGTATCCAGATTCTTGTTCAGTTGGATAAATGCCTTTGGGAGACATCGTGGAGAAGGATGGTGCTGGTGGGGAGATTCTCAGAACAGGAACTGACAATGGGGACAATAGGGTGGTCAAAGGTGATGCTACCTTGCTGTGGACTTGGGGGTCAGGGAGTCATATGTAACAGTATCTTATTTAATTTGTGGCAGGAACACCTCATTAATCTAGCCACATTCCCAATATACATGCACTTTGTATTATAAACACATTTCAGCCAGAGCTTTTGCAATGTGGTATTGGGTTAAGGACATGGGCTCTTCAGTCTCAAATTCTGGGGCAACTCACCTAGCCTCCCAATCTGTTCATCTTTTTAACTGGGATAGTGACACCTAGTTCACCAGGTTGTTAGGACTAAAAGTTAACATGATATTAATCATATTTCAAATGCCTGCTACACCTTATTCAAAATATAGTAACATGTTCATATTATTCAATATCCAGGATAATATACAGAAAGTGACTTGGAATAAGGCAGAGCAAGTAGAATGATTAAATTAATAAACCTTTGCTCTACACTGAATCAACTGCCTCAGGAGTCAACATGTTAATGTATCCTTATTTGAATGGATTTAATCACTCTTGTATGTTGTAGACATAAACAAGGCTACTAAAATGCTTTACTAATAGTCTTCCTTTTAAGATTTAAAGACATCGTGCCTACCCAGCACATGTGTTAATTTTCCTGGGCAAATAAATAAAGGGCTCTATGCAAGTGCAGATCCAAACATATTAGAATCTTCCTGTGTAAAATCTCTACTTTCCTGTTTCTCTCTAGTTTTTAAGGAAGGGTGGAGAAGATTGTTCTTTAAATATCCTAGTGCAGCACAAGAAAAGGTGAGGCTTTCAGACTCGGAAGTACGTTGACAGACTATTTCTTATAGAAATATTCTGATGAATCTTATTAACCCGATTAGAAATGAGGAATGAAGCTGTTTTTGCCAGAAAGGCATTCATGATGGATTCCAGTAGGTAAGACATGCTCTACAAAGGCAGGGCAAGTCTATTCACCACTACATGGCATAAAACTTGCACTCAATAAATAAATATTTGTTATACACATGAAAAAACATCAAGGGAATAGCAGGAGGATTTGGATTCTGGTCTGAGCTCAGTCAATAATTAGCCAAATGGCCTTGTGAAGCTTATATAAATCTTTGCAGCCCTCACTTTCTTTCTTAGAAAACTGATCAAGATCCATTTGCCCAATCTAACTCATGGGTTGGTTATTTTTTTTAAGATTTTATTTATTTATTCATGAGAGACAGAGAGAGAGGCAGAGACACAGGCAGAGGGAGAAGCAGGCTCCATGGAGGGAGCCAGAACGTGGGACTGGATCCCGGGTCTCCAGGATTACAGCATGGGCTGAAGGCGGCGCTAAACTGCTGAGCCACCCAGGCTGCCCTCATGGGTTGGTTATGAGCTGTAAAGTTACCTAGTATATGCAGGAATCATATGGGAAATTAGAAGCACATTGAATCAAAATGATTGCTGTTAATACAAATAATAAGAAAGCTGGTCTTAAAAAAAAATTCTTTGTGTTTCTCTACGTGCTTAAAACTATTCCTGTGTGGTAAGAAGTGGTCACTGAAGTATTTTGGGAAAATCTGGTTTCCAGACTCACTTTTCCCTTCACAAAGGCATGGGCTCCTACTTATTTGATGGTGGTGAAGCCTCAACTTCCTGAAGTGTAAAACCAGAAAATGATCTTTCAGTCCATTTTAACTCAGAAAAAGATTATCATTGGTTTTATTCTTTGGCCCTTAATTCAACCGTGAGACATTATGGAAGAGGCACACATTTTTTTTTTTTTAAATTCATTAAGGTCAAGAGTACCCAAATTGGATGTGTGGACTGAAAAGTCAATCTTAGTTGGTATATTTTGGGGGAAAATACATGTACAGCTTTTAGCAGAATTTATAGGTCTCTTATTGGAGGTAAGAGTAAATTAAGATTCTTTTGGAGAAATTGCTGCTGCAATTCATTCTTGTGACTGATGGGACAGTGGGCGTGAATGACTGTACCACAGATACGGCTGAATAATTGGAGCAAGTCATGTTTGCTCAGCATGTAACTCTGAGGTCACCAGTAAGCTGCCTCTGTGGGTGGTTGCTGTGTTTCTTCCTAACAGAGTTGTGGGTCTGGCATTGAGGTCTTACCATTAATTATAATTGATGAGTTTAACAGCAGCCTTGATGTTATCAGCTAAATTGCTTATATAGCAAAGAACAAATTTTCCATTAGTAGCTTTACTGAAATGCCAAATGTTAGTCAGTTTCTCAGGCATTGAATTTGACTCATCTGATGGTGATGCTGCAAACTGGTTGCCCCAGGGATGCATTTAGCCTATGAATTTAAGATTTCTCCCCCCTCTACATGGTGTTTTGAAAGAAGACTGAATTAGGGACTAATATTTAAAGATCTGGAAGTTCATGCAAGATTTTATGAGTCCTCTTTTGAGAATGAAGCTGGCCCACGGACTCTCAAGGCACCAATTGTGGGGAACTAAGTCTGATTTGCCTTTTGAATGGGAATGAATGCCCTTCTGCTTTCTGTATCTGTCCAACTTCCATCATTTATGTCTTGTTTGGTCCCCTATAGACACTTAAGTTGTAATTATTCTTCTAATATTTTATTGGGGATACTTACTTAACTTTGGGTTTTATTTGCTCTAAGGATTTGACCACATCAGACAACCTAAAAGTATGCCCATTTCTTACTGAAAGAATAAAGAATCCTAGTCTGGTCTTGGTGAGTCATGCATTAGGGAAGATTACTCTTGCTTAGTTCTGCTTTTGCTATGTCTCATCTAATGGACACTTGAAAACTATTCCCCTAGTTTCTATTCAAATTGAAGAAGTGGTTCTAGAAAAGGAGAGATGCATAGAAGTCTAATTGCCAGCTGTACTCACAGGGTCAAAAGCAACAGCCATTGATCATTGCCAAAAGCCAAAACCTAGGCATGTTAACTAGTATCCTAATCTCATTTTGGGCTCAAATGGTCATTACTCCTGACTTTTCTGCTTAGTATCCTAAAAGTAGCTCACACACCTATTTCTATGTCTCTCTTGCAGATGGCAGATCCTCATACACCACAACTTCTCCTCCATACTATAGCTAACCTTCAAGTTTGAAAATAAGATTTCTTTTGCACAATACATTTGTGTCTTAAGCCACTGGGATTTAGCTCTTGGATTCTCTGCTTCCCTATAGGTCTCAGAAGTGGCACTATTTACCTGATATGTGAGAGTTGGGAGTGCCCTGTAGTCTTAATATGGACTAAATATGACTCTCTGCTCTTGGTTGCCAACTGCCAAGGTTGATGCCATGGATGCTGTTGTTGGGAGGGTACAGCCTGGGCCATGTTCCCTCCTCAGTAGGTTACTTTATAACCCAAGGCCTTAGGGTGGCAAATCTTAGCCCTATCTTAGGTGGCTTCAAAATTGTTAAAAAGGTGTTGTAGGTGTTGTTTCACAGAAAGGCTGGGGGGTATTTATTCTCATTATTGCGTGACAGCAGGTCAAAATCTGTTTTTTAAAGATCTATATAGCTTGCAGGCAATTAGAGGGGCTTGCACTAAGGCAAGAGACATTAGAGAATACCAAATAATATTCCTAAAGCAACAATTCTTGAAATGTATGCAGGAAAGGAGTTCACTTAAATTTATTTCCCAGACCTCTTCTTTGAGATTATAACTAAGTCGCAGATGTAAGAATATGCATTTTTTGCCAAGCCTCCAGCTCCTGGTCCAAGGATCATATTTTGAAAAAACAGTCCC